CCTATAATTAAAAATTTGCTCTCTAGAATGATCCATTATTCATTTCTAATTATGAATCATCTGACAATGATAAACGCTTCACCATAAAATGAAGACACTCCTATCTGCTGAAACACAAGTAAATGCACATAAATGTCAGATCCACATCGTGGGTGCTAATGCTGCTGCTCCCTTCTCTTTTTTTTTTCTCATAAAAACACTGTTGCTCGGAATACACCTCTGCCAGCATCTCTAACGTGATTTTTCTTGTTCTTCCCTCTCAAATACAGTAAAGCACTTTAACTGGGACAAAATCTGTTTAAAAAAAAGAAAAAAGATTCATGTCATAGGCATTGGGTTTAAATCAAACTAGGACGCACTGTGACTCTGCAGCCTCTCAGGTGGCTACCGTGGATTATTTTTACACCCACAAAGTCGTTTTCTGGAGTGCCAGGACAAACTCTCCTCCTCACACCTCTTCAGTCCCTCTTTTTTCTTCAAGTTTCCTACCATTATTCTATACCTCTTTCTTCATCAAACTATTCCTTCATTCTCAGACTCCCTTGCTTTCTCTTGAGCTCCTTAATTTAATTGAACCTCTATATCCTCATATGAATAACTGGAATCAAACTGAAGGCATGTACATTTGACAACCACAGCTCCCACACTTTCTCCAGAATCTCGCTCTTGTGTTGTGTTTTACCGTCGTCCGTAGTGTGTCATCAAGAATGATGTCATTCTCAAATGTTTATCCTCATATTTAGCTTTGACACACGCAACATGCCCTCTCATTCTTTATGGGATTTTTTGTGCGCTCAGCTCTGTCAAAGGTTAGCCTTTGCCTCCCACAGTCTTACTCATACTGCTCTCTCGCTAAATATACACATCCACACCTCCATCTGCCTCCTGTCTAACCTCGATCCATTCAGCTGTGGCTGCTCTCTTTCTGCTCTTTAATCTTCAACTTTCTCTCCTGGTTACGGTGAATCCTCCATTACTAATCAGACCAATCAAAACAAATGCATCCATATTCTGAACCGCTTATTTCCAAATGGGGTCGCGGGGGGACTGGAGCCTATCCCAGTGGTCAACGGGGGGGAGAGGCAGGGCACACACTGGACGATCCACCAATTAATCGCAGGCCCACACATATAGATAAAAACAACAACGCACACCTGAGGGAATTTGGATTTTCCAATAAACCTAACATGCAGGTTTTTGGACAGTGGAATAATTGAAAAATCAATTCTTTTGATTGTAGGGCTGACAAGAAAACTATTTTTAAACACCTGACAATAAACTTGAGGTAATGACTCCATAGTTCATTAGGTTATATATGCCAAGAGAGAAAAGTAAGAGTATCCCTTTCTCATTTACTCTCTAACTCTCTAATTTACTCTCTTTGTCGAGGGAACAAAGAACACTGACGGTGGGAAAGTGCCCAAAGACCAAGTGTTCCTCCTCTCTGCCATGAACTCTAACATAACGAGCAGGGAGGTTTGCCCAAGTCAGGGGAGCAGAACTTCCCAGTCACCGGGCAGCAGCAGAGACCTTGACAGCCAGCAGGTGTCAAACCTCCGACACATAACAGAAACCTGTAATGTGTGCACTGTTTAGAAGTTCTCAGGAAGCATTGCCTCAGCACAGTTTATATTCTGTAGTCTCAGGGTCAGAAGTCCCCTCCTTGGTTATTCCAAACAACTTTGGGTATCACAGCGAGCACTTGTGAACATAGAGTACAAAGATCTGGGCAGTAGCCAAACAGCCCAGCCATCAAAAGCTGGTGGACAGATAGTAACGTCAGCTTTTTTGGCTGCCCAGAACAGACATCACATGATGCATAACTGCAGGGTTCCAAAGTTGCTCTAGAAAAATCTGTAGTATGAGACACCATCTATTTTCACTGATTATTGTTTCCTGTGTGATTCTCTCCAATCATATTTTTAAAAAGAAAAGAAAAGAAAAAACACAATCAATATCACTTTTTACAAAAAGACAAAGCAAAACAATGTGTGTTTGAGGATGAATTTCTTAGTCCTTAATATCAATGTACATAATATATCTGGGGTTTAGACATTTCACCAGACCTTTTAGGTTTTTTTATCCAGAATGAAGGCTCTCTTTCTGATCCCACTGTCCAAGCTGTCCTCTTCCTCTGTCTGGTCATATGCATATTGGAGGAAAGTTTAAGCCAAAGCTGCTGTTTTCGTGCTGTGTCCCACCCTACATTTTTAATTTTTCCTTATCATCCAGCTGCCACTGATACTCCATGTAGGTCAGTAAGGAGGGCAGCCTCTTTCTCTGTGTCACTCACACACACACACACACACACACACACACACACACACACACACACACAC